TATTTAGCATGCTTTTGTTTAGTTATTCTTTCAGAATAAATGGAGGGATTGGAAGGGTTATAATGAATTAGTGATCTTTTACTAAGCTAAAGCCAGCTCTGACCAGTTTAGCATTACATAAGCTTTGTAGATAAGAACAGAAAAACATGCAGTTTATCACTTAAGTAGCAATAAGAAGGGTAAGCCCCTCATTATGAAAATTAACTTTTTCTGCAGTATGATTGCACAAAATGTCTCAACCTGGTTGCTTAATCATGCACACCCCTTATCTCTCAATTATGCACACCTTTAAAAATCTCAAACCTTCTGTTAGCAAGCCTATATAAACCCTTGCTTTGTTCTAATAAATTGAAGTTCTTATTCAACCTACTTTGTGTTATTCTGAGTTTGTTGCTCCTCAAGTGCTTGAGTGGGAACTACGGCTGGACAGAACTAAAAGTCAATGGCATAAGAACGGTGGTACCTTCTGGGTACAGTGATCACTTAGAAATGTTCCAACAACTATTTTGACAAATGGTCATCACTATGGATAAATGTATATACCTGTTTTGTCATTGGTAGGGATTTAGATATTTGCCTTACAAGTAAAATGAATACTTTAAATTAGGATATAATGTGGCTCAATTAACTTAGCAAGTTTGGTTATCCTTAAAGGTTCAAAAAGCAAATCTGGGTGCGCTATGCCTTTAAGACGTATTCAATTTGTAAAGTGCAGAAAATATTGTAAAATGTGTACATGCGCAATCCAAACTTTAAAGTGCAATCCAAACTGCCTCTGGTATTTTCTGTCCCAAGTGGATTGGAGTTTGCAGCTATTACAGTTAGAGCAGGCTTTTCTGCTCTACTCTTGTGAGTTTAACATTCTATCAATTTGAAATCCCTTTATATTTTTGCAGTTTTGCACTATTGGTATCTTTTCTCTGTTTTTTTTCTCTGTTTACTTTAACATATGCATAACTCTGAAGATTGAGCGTACGAAGCTTGTCTGTATTCAAAGAAACCATTCTGTGTAAGTTTTGTGTGTTATATACACTGATATTCACACTGATTGCAAATAATATTATTGCACAGTCTTATTGCACTTTAAAGTTTGAATTGCACATGTACACATTTTACAATATTTTCTGCACTTTACAAACTGAATTTGTTTTAAAGTCCCAGTGCCTCTATTTTTGGTTTTTATTGTTGTGTGTGTTTTAGGAGATATTACACTTGATAGAGTGCTGCTCTCTCTCTGTCTCTCTCTCTCTCTCTCTCTCTCTCTATATATATATATATATATATGTATATATATACATAAAACATTTTTTGTATTTTTTAATTAAAAAGATAGTTTATTAGAGGATTAATGTTATAGTGCCTTTTATTTTTACAAGTTTTTTTAGTTGTAAAAATCCTTAAAGATTTACTCTGAGCATCATTATCATTACAGTTCACTATAGTGGTAATGATGCGAGAGGTACTCGCCTGCAGTACCTTTTGCAAAGGTTTTGAAAAGGTTTGGCTTCCTTACCTGGGTTCCATTTGGCACAAAACATGCCTCAGTGCTGGCTGAACAGCATCCACCAAATTATGTGGTTCATTCATTAGCTGACAGCATCAGCTCAGCGCTCTCGGCCAATGAATGAGTGTTTGTGCAAGGAATATGCACAGAATTGACAGTAGCCAGCTTGGAAATCTGGTCAGGACTGGCTAATGATAATGCTGGAAGTGGAATTACACCTTCACACAGCAACATTAGATATCCAAGTTTCATACTAAAACGCTGCATATACAGCGTCCTTGCATCATGGTCAATTCAAAATACTGACGTGGATATGTTCGTTGATAACAAACATTCACTATAGCTTACCTTTTTCTTTGTGACTTAATTTGAGTCAGAATATTTGGTCATAAAAAGTAAATTCAAAAATATTCAGTGAAGATATCATTAGGATACCATTTTATTTGAAATGTCAGTCATACATATCTCCTGCTGTCAAATCCTTCTTAAAACAATTAAAAATACATTTGATAGATCCCACTGTCATGCTAATCGCAGTATGTTTCTCAACATATTTTATAACATCAAATACAACATTTGAAAGTCTGCAGATAAAACATTAATTAAAACAAAAGGCTCACAAAGGGATTACATTCCACATGACAAGGTGGCTGTATGGCAATTTTACTTCATTTAATATGAAACAATAGGAGCTAACATCCTGGAAGCTCTGAGTAAAGATTTTGATTAATTAATTCAGTCAGAATTATTCTAACCATAGACGAGATATTATATTTTATGTACCTTAAGTTTCTGTTATTGCAATAGAGTCAGTTTTGTTAAACCTTTTATAGTATGTCTACCTCTTAAACATTGCCTGTACTCCACAAAGATAGGGTAAATATGTGTCCTTGTGCTTAAATTAACAATTTATGAAAGATCTCTTTTTTTTCTCTTATTTCCCCATTATATGTTTTTGGTAATGCTTATGGTGCAAGGACTCTATGGGTGCAATCTGTTGGTTGTTTTTTGTGAAACGGTTTCAAGTGTTTTGAAAACCAGAAGATTCTGTGGCATCCAAATCCATCCCTTACGCCTGGAATATCTAAAGAGGATGTTTCACATTCCTCATTATGCATCCAAAATATCTGTTGGAAGCGTTAAGCGTGATTCAGCTGTACTGAAATGTTGTTAACCCTTTTAGCTACATCTTATTGATACATGAATGCTCACATATGTGCCCATTTTTAGTAATACTACCAAGAAGATTACTTTTATAACATGTCAGTTATTATTTATCTATGCAGTTATTTCAAATTTTTTATTTGAGATATAATTGTATTTATTTTTATTTCTCAAATTTTAAATTTTAGTTATTTAAATTTAGATAAAGAGATATAAAGGGATTTTAGGACCATACATAGGAACTGGAAGCATTCTGCAATTGAACATTTTTTCCAGGTCTACTGTTTTGGCCAATTATAACATTTTCCCAGTTCCCGGTTTGACAATTACCACTCATAGTTTGTGTCATCAGAAGGGAACCAATTGTTCATAATCACCTCTAGTATTCATGTTTTACATTTATTTATCTACAGAACCTATGAACATCTCAAACATTATTAAATCCCTTCATAAGTTCTACTCAACTAATGAAGTATTTAATACTGTAAAAGAGTGAAACAGTTCAATTCAAATCACAGCATTTAATTGCACAGCTATAAAGGATAAAAAGGGGTGGTGATGGAGTAATGTAAAGAAGTACAGACACAGGCATGTCTTCATTGGTGATCCACGTGAAACTGCTGTTCTTCAAGCAATAATTTCACCTAATAGCAACATTTACACTTTTCTAGCAATTTAGCATATCACATTTTTTTCTTAGACGATTTTTGATTGTGAATACAAGACTTCAGATTTATAAGTGGATTCTATACCTATGAAGACAGTCTTTAAATACAGAATTCATCACAGCTGGCTCAGTAGGCTGTATGGATTGATTATCATAATACACTTAATTATTACTAGAAGAATCAGAGGGCATGCTTAATATATCTTTTGCCATTAAACCCTCAGTTGAATCAGCACATTTCCTCTATCACACAGCTTGAACCATAATTTTCAATCATCAGTTCAAATAATGAGATCTTAGAACTCTGACCAGTTTGAACAAATCTTATTTTTTCTTACAAAAGCTTATTTCATTAATGTAAATTGATTATTTTTTTTACAGATAATACAATTTTTTTATTGCAAATTTCTTGTCTTAAAGCAAACCAAACTAGATATGCAAACTATAGTATGCAATATAAAATAACATATGACTTAATTATGGGATTTGGAATTGTATCTTTTTGCAATAAAGCACACATTTTTTACAAGGAATTTAATTTAAAAAACAAAACAAAAAAACAACACTGAACTAGTTGAATGTATTGCGAAGGATTCTCAGAGGTGAAAGGGTTTACTCTGCCTCATGAATAACAATCTTCCCTAGACTTCAATGGAGACATTGCCTTTCAGTACATAGAATACATTTTACTCTTTTAAGAGAACCCAACCCTATGTATTTGTCTTTGCTGGTCACTTTGTTGAACACACTCACCACCATAACAACAAAGGTTTATTTAAGTTGTTAGAGGGCAGTAGAGTTGAGCGGACACCTGGATGTTCGGGTCCGGCGGGTTCGGCCGAACTTTGAAAAGTCAATGGAGACCTGAACTTTTGGCCACAAAAATCCCTCTAAAAACTCCTGGAAAGGGCTAGGGAGCCGCAAAAGCAAGTAAAATGGTGGTAAGAGTAGGACAAGTGCCCTGCAAACAAAGGTGAATAGGGAAATCACTTAAAATAACATAAAAATAAAAAATACAGCTGAGCCATAAAATAGCACTAGATGGAATCTTTGATTTTAGCTTTGGAAGAACATAAATCAAAATCTAAAGCATGGCTGTCAGGAGGATTACCAGAATTATCCATTTGAGAGAGGGTTGGAGTGAAGGATATTCTCTTTCATTGTTCAAACTGAGCTCAACTCCTGATGCATGGAGAAAAGGCCTTTACAAGCCTCTGCAATTGTGTACATAGTTTATACTAAGTGACCCATAGGTTGAGGAGGTGTTGACCATGGCGGTGTAGGTGGGAGCGGCGGTGGAGGAGGAGGTAGCCTACACTGTTTTTTATTTATTTATTTTTAATTGGGGTAGCCCCCAAAATATTGGGACATACAAATAAATAAACATTTGCGGTCTGCGGTGCATTTCTTGCAGTCCTGATGGATGGAGAAAAGGCCTTCACAAGCCTCTGCTAATGTGTGCCTAGTTTATACTAAGTGACCCATAGGTTGAGGAGGCGGTGACCGTGGCGGTGGAGGAGGAAGCAGCGGTGGAGGAGGAGGATGAGGTAGCCAACACTGTATCTTATGTTTTTTAAAAATTTTTTAATTGTGGTAGCCCACAAAATATTGGGACATACAAATAAAGAAACATTTGCGGCCTGCGGTGCATTTCTTGCAGTCCTGATGCATGGAGAAATGCTCAACTCCTGATGCATGGAGAAAAGGCCTTCACAAACCTCTGCTAATGTGTACCTAGTTTATACTAAGTGACCCATAGGTTGAGGAGGCGGTGACCGTGGCGGAGGAGGATGGTAGCCCCCAAAATATTGAGACATATAAAAAAAGACAACTCTGTTCTGCAGAGTAGCTGTTGCGCAGGAACTTTGTTAAATCTAGAGAACCTCGGGCAAATTGCACATCCCCGTGGTGGCGACTTTGCATGCGGATGTCATCCATATCAACTTTCAATGCCAGCTTATGTGCCTACCATGGTGACCACGGGTAATGGGGAATCAGGGTTTAATTTTGTACAGGGACCCTGAGAAACGGCTACCACATGCAAGGAAGGCAGCAGGCGCCCAAATGACCCACTCCCGACGCGGGAAGGTAGTGATGACAAATAACAATACAGGACTCTTTAGAGGCCCTGTAATTGTAATGAGTTCACTTGAAATCCTTTAGCTCTGATCAATTGGAGGGAATTCTGGTGCAGAGCCACTGACCCGTGCATGCTGCAGCTGAAACTCCACTATCGCCTTCTGCTCGCAAAGTCTCATGAGGCGGTGAGCGGGAAGGCCGAAGTTACGCTGCAGCGCAGACAGGCGAGCAGCAGCAGGGTGACAACGCCAAAAGTTAGCACAGCCGCTACAGTGAATGTCACATCCTGTTCCAAGTTGCGGATCAGTCTGGTGATGGCTTCTGGTATCAAGTACTCTTTTTATTGAAGCTGCATCAGGATCCTGGTATGTGGCCGCACAAGCTCTGGTGCTCAACAAAAGGGGGCATGCGGGGGGTGGCGTGGCCAGCCGTGCAACTGAGCAGACGTGTTTGCAGGGAGCTCCTGCTAAACACACTGAAAATACCCCCAAAAAAGCCATGAAAAACACACAGCTCACCCTATAACCAAGACAGGGGTGACACTGAACCCCCCAAGAGAGAGATGGGGCGCAAGCACCGCAAATTACTGGCATCGGAGGCTTCTAAACTTCCAGACATCAGGAGGTCATTCGATAGGCCACAGCAGACAGCGCAGCCTAAGATGGCGCCTGCCAGGCCTCGAGGATCCAGCGAGTCGGAGACGTCCCCAGATGAAGAGGGCTCGATGTCAACACGGGCCCTCAGCAGAGTTTATCAGAGAGAGGACTCCGACTCAGACACGTCGCCCTCCACCAAGGGGGACATTAAGAGGCTCCTGCTCGAGCTCCGTGGGGTCTGGAAGAAGGACCTAGATGGGGTGCGTGGAGAGATGGGCGGCATCATGGCCAGGTTGGGAGCAGTCGAGACAAGAGAGAAAGAAAGGGACACCAACCTCACAGGGACCCGAGCTCACATAGCAGATCTCTCCCAGCAGCTCCAGCGACTCACCCGGGCCGTCACTACCATTGAGGCTAGGCACCGAAAGAAAAACATACGTATAAGAGGGGTGCCAGAGACGGTGGGACCGGAGTCAGCACTAGATTTTGCTAATAAAATGGCCGCTGTACTGGAGGTTAGAGGAGAGGGTGGGCTGCCGCCCGTGTCCTATGCGTTCCGCATACGGAAGGCCGCAACAGCCCCTGTGGACGCCCCCAAGGACATCATCGCGGTTACCCGGAGCCCGGCAGTGAAGACAGCGATGCTGACCAGCTCACGGAACACACCCCACATAGCTGTCGAAAACTGCCAAGTGAGAATCTTTGATGACCTACCTTTCGCTGTCCTGCTGGAGAGACGCAGATTCATGCCAGTCACCAAACTCCTCAGAGACCACGGAGTCAGGTATAGATGAGGCACATCAGGTACCCTGGTGGTACCACACGGAGACGCAGTATTGACGCTGTCCGCGGCAGAGGATCCGGCGGCTTTCCTAGAGAAGCTCCAATTACCACAGCCATCGCCCCCGGTGCCCACGGAGCACAGGACTTTACCAACCGACACTTACACCACCGAGAGGGAAGAAAACCCTGGCACAGCAGCAGTGAAACGGCGACCACTACATCAGCGCCCTCCATAAGTCGGATAACCCTGAAGGGAGGCAGCTGCTAAGAAACCTGACAGGCCATAACAGAGGCCCAAAAGAAACTTAAGCCCGGCTGCGCAACAAGAGACTAACCTTAAATATTTTTAATTTTTTTTAATTTGTG